TGATCCACCAGAGGGGCTGCGCTATGATCCACCAGAGGGGCTGCGCTATGATCCACCAGAGGGGCTGCGCTGTGATCCACCAGAGGGGCTGCGCTGTGATCCACCAGAGGGGCTGCACTATGATCCACCAGAGGGGCTGCACTATGATCCACCAGAGGGGCTGCGCTGTGATCCACCAGAGGGGCTGTGCTGTGATCCACCAGAGGGGCTGCGCTATGATCCACCAGAGGGGCTGCACTGTGATCCACCAGAGAGGCTGTGCTATGATCCACCAGAGGGGCTGCGCTGTGATCCACCAGAGGGGCTGTGCTATGATCCACCAGAGGGGCTGCGTTATGATCCACCAGAGAGGCCTGTCAGAGCCTCCGCAGGGCACCTCCTCCTGCCACGGACACCGCAGCACCACCACCAGGTCAGCAGGGTCACATGGACCCAGGGGCAGAGCAGCTGGCACAGACGACAGCCTGAGCCTGTGGAAGACCCTTCCCTTGCCCCAGGCCCCACTCAGAACCAGTGGCCTCTCGAGTCACTTGGTCAATAGGCCAGAGGGGCGCACCCCAGTGAGGGCCATGCTGCCTCCAAAACCCAGAGAGGCCACCAGGCGTTGTGTCTTCATTTCAGTTGTGGGAATGGTCACATGCAATATAATTTAGCCTTTACTTTATTAGGAATATCTTGACATACCTCCAGAACTCTCCCTAGGCCTTTGTATACTTTCTTCTACAGTACACCAAGGTAGGTCTGGTACTTCAACTGGAGTTCTTGTAGACCGTCATGGGATCCATGTGTCAGCACACGAGCCAAATAAGCTATGAGATCCTCTCCTAACCTCTTGAGATGCAACACTGAATGAAGAATCTGTGCTTAGTGGGCCCGCATCAGTGAACTCAGACTGATCGGACCTTATGTTCCAGGCACAATCATCTCATACCCTTGCTAACCTTTCCCACACACACCCTCCAGGTTTCCATCTGTGCATCTTAGAAGACTAGAGCTCTTGAGAAGTACAACACACCTCTTCTCAGGTTACCATTTGTGCTTCCCCTGTGACATACGTTACAGGTCTAGAAGCAGTCATAGGTGAGGAGGGTGTTTCTGGGGAAACTTAGCAATGTCTTTTAAGGTATCGGCCTCGTGTGTCGTCCAGACCTAGCCCTAGCATGCACACTTGGGCTAATATCCTCAAATGTGACCAGACAGGATAATAGTCTGCCTGGTAGTGGACTGGCAGGCAGAAGGGGAGTAATGTCTTCAGATGGGAGGGGTGGTGCTGCTGGCGGAGGTGAGTCAATGGGATGTAGGGCCCTGGTGTTGCCATCTTTCTGATTATCTGCCCATATGTCTCCACCCCAACTTCCAGGGTCCCATTTCTTCCCAAACAATGCCCTCGCTTGACCATTAAACACTGTTTGAGATTGGGAACTCAGTTGACATTGTAGTTCAGCCACTCTTATGACAAGACTCTGGGTGTGACTTTTAGCCATATCAGTACTGATACTACAGAAAGATTATGTGGTTACAGAGATAAAGTTAGGGCACAAAGCATCGACCAGAAGGAACACGCACACTGCAAGAGGACGAGGGAGGACAAGGCACCTAGGAAAGGATGGCCTTTGGTTGTCCCTGCGATGCGTCACTTATTTAACAGATCTTGAGATCAAAGAGCAAAATGCCTGTGGGAAGTAGGGCATCAGTCTGTGTGTTTCTTATCTAAAATGCCTGTGGGAAGTAGGGCATCAGTCTGTGTGTTTCTTATCTAATGCCTCATCTACATCTGTCTGTTTGAAACACTTCGTAAGTTTAACTTTTGGTCATTGGCACCAATTGTCCCAGATGACATCAGCTAAGTATATCTTGGAACACAGCCAACGGTGCCACCAGCCCTCACCATCCACAGGTCACACCTCAGGCCTCCACCACGACAGCCCAGCAATGTGGAAGGCACATGACCCTCTCAGCCAAGAACACGCTTCCAATGACCCAAACTCTGTCACCGGGCTCCCACCAGCCTCTTGGGCAGGTGGGGGCATTGTTAAATTCTGGAGAACATGTTTAAAGGTAGGTGCTCTTTGCATAAGTAAGTCATTATTGAGGCAGAAAGCGAGAGTGCAGGAGAGGAGCAGTCACAGACCTTTTAATCTCCTCTTTGCTGGTGTCAATGTGGTACCGCAGCAGACACAACTCCGGCCCAGACGACAGCAATACAAAGGCATCGATGTGGTAAAACTGCGCGAACTGCATCGGCTTAGAAAACATGTCTCTGCCCTGCAATAAAAGCCGCGACAGCAAGTGTTAGGAAGCACAGTCAGCTCCCAGTCCTCCTGAACGCGTGGGCACACAGTGCGCGCACGAGAGACCAGGTTCCCAGTGTGCACTGCTGCCTACGGGCAGGTTGACTTCCAGAAGATGCGCCATCCAGATGTCACTGTGGGTCCCAGCTTTGAGGACATGGAACTTCGCAGCGGGCATGTTTGGTGCAAGGATGTTATGAAGGCCCAAGCATCAAAGGGACTGATAACGTAAGACGTCATTCTGAGGTCTCCATCGGAGATTCCGCTCAAGACTAACAATGTGGGTGTCACCCACCGTGCTGGCCTCACCTGCCCGTCCCCCCTCGGCTCATCTTCATGGCACTCAATCCTCTTTCTAGACCAGTGGATCTCAACCTTCCTGATGCCACGACCCTTCAATACGGTTCCTCATGTGGTGACCCCCAACCACAAAATTATTTTCATTGCTACTTCATAACTGTAATTTTGCTACTGTTATGAATCATACTGTAAATATCTGATATGCAGGATGTATTTTCATTGTTACAAATTGAACATAATTAAAGCATGGTGATTAAATCATTAATTAAAGCATTTATCCAGTAATTATAATTCATGAAGTGTCGTTTTACCTCCAATACTGCTGCTTTCAACACAGTATCTGCTTTTAACAGAGTCGCTGCTTTAACACAGCAACTGCTCTCTACACAGCAGCTGCTCTCAACACGTGTGACTGGTCCACGTAAGTACATTATGGCACCAACCCTGTCACATACACCTGTATTTGTATGGCGTGTATGTGATGGGGTTGGCACGATGATGTCATCACTCTGGGTACTCGTATGTGGCCGTATCTGCATGTGGGCGGACCTGCCTGGAGACAGATAGAGTGGTGGTGTCTCAGTACCTAATCGGAAAACACCTATTTCTGATGGTCTTAGGTGACCCCTGTGAAAGAGTTGTTCGACCTCCAAATGGGTTGAGACTCCCAGGTTGAGAACTGCTGCTCTAGACTAAAACTTCCCGCCCTCAAGTCAATGCCAGCTCATACAGCAACCCTAGAGGCCAGGCTAGAACTTCCCCTGTGGGTGGCCGAGATGGTACTTCTTTATGGGAGTAGAAAGCCTCATAAGCCTCGTCTTACTCTGAGGAGCATCTGGTGGTTTTGAACTGACAACCTTGAGATGAGCAGCCCAATGTGTAACCACTATGCCACCAGAGTTCCCATGGTAATAAACCAACACCAAGAAGGTCTTTGACGCTTTCACTGCATCTGTGCATCCTGTGCGTCTCCTCTCTCCACAAATCAGAGCAGAGCTTCCCACAGTCACCTCCCTCCCTCCCTCCCTCAGTGGTAGCAGTACCCTCATCTGCTGTCTCTGCGCTCCTTTCTGCCCCAACGGTCGGTCCTTCCTGAGCTTATCTAGACAAGTCCCTTTTCGCCATGGTGGAGTGCCAACCAGCAGTGGAAAGTACGGATTTACTTGTGCTTATTTAATCTGTGGTGGACAATATCATACCTGCAATGTGGTGAGAGCCATGTGACATTGCCCACTACAGATTAACAAGTAAGCACAAGTAACCCCATGCTTTCTTTGCTGACTGGGTCTGCCATTCCTGTCCCAGATTCTACATTTGAAAACATTTGACACTGTAGGGCTGGGTGAGAGACCAATGCTGGCCTGGAAGCAGAGCGTCAGATGCTATGGGAAAGATCCAAAGGGCCATGCGTGCATGAACACAAGCCAGTCCGCACCTTCTCCATCAGGAACCCCACCCTGCTTTTATCACCCAAAATATGATTCCTCCACATACGATCCCCCCAGCGAATATCATTACCATTTCTGTGAATCAAAAGAATTCCCCTACAGAAAGGCTGGTGTTGAGAACTCCTCAGCTGCTCTCTGGAAGGAGGATGCGAGGCCAACTGCTTCTATAAAGACCACAGCCTTGGAGCCCACAGGGCAGGTCACTAGGAGTCACAACTGACTCCCTGCAAGTGGACTTGGATTGGGGTATGCTATAAACAAATGTTAGACGAGGCGGTAAAGGTTATTCAAATATTTTAGCATTAATATGTTTGCCATTTTTAGACCATATAGCTGTAAGGGCACATTTTCCCGTGTGTGTGCGTGTGTGCGTGTGTGTGAGTGTGTGTGTGTGTGTGTGTGTGTGTGTGAATGCATATGTAAGAGGGTAAGTCAAAAAGTTATGCTGCTAGAAGTCCAGTTCATACGTGCATGAGTTTATTCCAGCAAACTGTATTTATGAAAGTCTCTGGGATCAGTGGATAGCCAGAAATATTCTCAGATGTATGCTTGTCATACAACAATATGCCCACCGGCCGAGCTGCACCCATACCTCCTGCGGCCACACCCACTGGGCAAGAGCCACTACCCATTCTGGTACCATCTGATCATTAATAAATAGCTGAAAACACAGCCAAGCAAGCCTTCAACTGTGCTATAGAAACAGCAAAGACACACCTACTCACACGCATTCTGTTTCACCCACCTGGACGCAGGTGGCGAGAGGGTAAGATCTCTCATTAACATCTGTTAACGTTACTCAGGTCGGCGTCTTCCCGAAGCACCGAAACCGTGCAATAAGTTTACTGGAATGCTGCCACACATGAAGCAACAGTTTCTAGGTGGATCCGGTGTCTTAAGGTAGGTCGAGAAGACCTCAAAAATGAGCCAAGACAGGGAAGACCGTCAAACATGATAAATGAAGAAACTGAGGCTCAAGTCCAGAAATGGGCGGAAGAAGATCATAGAATCACCTTTAAAGCAGCAACTACTAACGCTCGGAGCACACACGGTTTTGCATTTTCAATTTTAAGGGGGCATCTTGACCTCAAGCTTTTGGCTTGATGGATGCCGAAAGCGTGAATGTCAGATCAAGGGGCTGATCATCTCATCAATCTCTTAAACAAGATCAGAGCTCGTGATGATTCTACGGGATGAATTATTAAACTGATAAGCACAGATACTACACTTGATCTTAGCCAAAAGGCCGAGAAGCGATCTACGGGATGAATTATAACGCACATGAGTACTAAACTGGCCAATGTGATCCAGAAAGAAAGAAGCCATCAAAACAGGGACCCCGAGGGGATCTGCCGGGCCAGCTAAATTCTGGGCAGCGAGCTCAGCTCAGAAGGCGGTAGCAACTTCTGGGGGAGTCCAGCAGAGCCACCCTGCTGGCCATTCTCAGAAGCAGCAGGATGATCGCGGAGGCTTACTCTGAAGTGCTTAGAAAGCAGACAACTGTACCAGGAGGAAAAGGCCTGGGAAGATGGAGAGATACCTGAGAGTTTTTCCACCACAACAATGCACCTGCTCATCCTTCGACAGTAACCAGGGCTGTCCTATGAAAATTTCTTTGGGAAACTTTACCCCATCGACCCTACAGATCAGCCTTCAGACTTCATTCCATCTCAAAATGTCTATTGCATTTCAAAGGAACAAAGTGCAAGTCCCAAGAGGGAGTCAAGTAGTGTTCCCTTGAGAGGCCCCTCGAGAATTCCAAACCCAACCCCTCTGTCGGTCTGTCACACTGCGGGGGCCTGCATGTTGCTGTGAGGCTGGACACTGTGTCCCTACTGTATGGAATGTCAGCAGGGTCGCCCATGGTCGGCAGATTTCGGTGGAGCGTCCAGACTAAGAACAGACGAGGAAGAAGAAAACTTCTGAGGGATGGACCACTGAAATAGCAGCAGGGCGTTATTTGATGTGGTACGAGGGGAAGAGCCCCTCAGGTGGGAAGGCTCTCGACCGAGGAAGAGCTGCCTCCTCAAAGAAAGGTTAGCTTTAATGGCCCTCATTGGCTGAGGGGGCATGGCTGAAAGTGAGAAGTGGCAACTGTAGACATACGTTAATAATCAGAATGCTAAATGTACAAAGTATGAATCCAGCAACATTGAGAGTCATTAAAATTAAATGGAATGTATGAAGATTGATATGCTAAGCATTAGTGAGCTGAATTGGACTGGGATTTGGCCATTTTTAATTGGACAATGATGTGGTTTATTATGAAAGGAAAGAAAAACTCTAGAAGAAAGACATCCCATCTATTGTCAGAAAGAACATTTCAAGATCTACCTTGAAGTGCAATGCTGTCTGTGATAAAATAATATCTGTATGCCCACAAAGAAATCCCGTTGATACAACTATTAGTCAAATTAGCACACCAACCATTAAAGCAATGAGAAAACACTGAAATCTTCTACCAACTTCTTCATTCCTAATTTGATCTGACATTCAATTGAGAGGCATTAATAATTATTTTCAATTAACTATTGGAATTAAACATTGGAATGTGAAAGTTGGATACCAAGAGAAAGAATCAGTAGTTGCAAAACATGGCTTTGGTGATATAAACAAAGCTGCCAATCACATGATAAACTATTTCAAGGGCCAGTGACTTCTTCATCTCTAATATGTTTTTCCTACAACACAAATGGAGACTATACATTTGATTTCACTGGATAATATACACAGAATTTAAATAGACTACCTACGTGTGAAGAGATGATGTAGAGATTCAATTCAACCAGTCAAAAGAAGCCCATGGTCTGATTGTGGAAGACACCATCAATTGCCTGTTAGGATGGTAACCCAAAGATCAGTGATTCAAACCCACCAGCTGCTCTAGCAGAGAAAGAAGAGGACTTCAGCTCCAATAAAGCTTGACAGCCTTGGAAAACCACAGGGGCAGTTCTACTCCATGCGATAGAGTCACCGAGTCAGAATTGATCAACGGAAGAAAGAGTAAGTTCAGGGTGAAGCGGAAGAAGATTAAACAAGCCTATGAGGGCCAAAGTACAACGTTATGATTTAGATTTCGCTCATCGGGCACTAATGACCAAAGACCTGGCCAGTTGCAGGGTGACATCAAGAACAGCATACATGAAGAAGGCAAACCACGATTTAAAGGCAGGAAAAGGAAAAAAAGACTAAAGTGGAAGCCAGAAGAGACGCTGGCATGTGCTCTTAAATGTAGAATATCTAAAGAAAAGGGAAGAAGTGCTTAAATAAAGGAGCTGAACAGATTATTTCAAAGGACAGCTAGAGAAAATAAAGTATTATAATGAAATGTGCAAAGATCTGACGTTAAAATGGAAGAACATGATCAGCTTTCTCAAGTTGAAATAATGAAAGAAAAAAAATTCAAGCCTCAAGTTTCAATATTGAAGGATTCTATGGGAAAAACAGTGAGCCATGCAGGAAGCATTAAAAAAAAAAAAAAAAGATAAAAGGAATGGAAAGTCATTTTACCAAAAAGAACTAGTTGAGATTTAACCATTCTAAGACATAGCATATGATCAAGAAACGATGGTACTGAAGGAAGGAGTCTAAGCTGCACTGAAGGCACTGGTGAAAAATCAGGCTCTAGGACAGTGGTTCTCAACCTGTGAGTTGCAACCCCTTTGGGGGTGGAAAGACCCTTTCACAGGAGTCACCTAAGACCATCAGAAAACACATAAATATTCCACAATATAAGTTTTGTGATTAATCACTATGCATTAATTATGTTTAATTATGTACAATTTGTAACAATGAAAATACATCCTGCATGTCAGATATTTACATTATGATTCATAACAGCAGCAAAATTATTTATGAAGTAGCAACAAAAATAATTTTATGATTAGGGGTCACCACAACATGAGGAACTGTACTAAAGGGTCACGGCATTAGGAAGGGTGAGAACCACTGCTCTAGGAATTGACAGAATATCAATTGCAATGTTTCAATAAGGTGATGAAGCACTGGAAGCACACACTCATCTATATCAAGAAATTGGGAAGACCACCACCTGGCCAACCAACGGGAAGAGATCCACATTTGTGCCTATTCCAAAGAGAAGTGACCCAACAGAATGAAGAAATTATTGAGCAATATCATTAATATCGCATGCAGCCAGAATTCCACACACAGGGAGTTGCTAGCTATTCAAGCTGAAATCAGAGAGGACATGGAATGAGGTACATCATCATTGATATTAGATAGATCTTGGTTGAAAGCAAAGAATACCAGAAAGATGTTTACTTGTGTTTTACTGACAATGCAAAGGCATTTGACTTTGTGGCTCAAAGCCAACTATGGACATCCTTGAGAAAACATGGGAATTCCAGAACACTTCAAGGTGCTCATGCAGAACCTGTACACAGCCCAATGGGTATTGGTTTGAACAGAACAAGGGATACTGCATGGTTTATAATTAGGAAAGAGGGGCATTGGGTTCTCTTACCATACTTATTCAATCTGCATGCTGATCAAATAATCAGAGAAGCTGGACCATGTGAAGAGTAACGTGACATCAGGAATAGAGGCAGGCTTGTTAACAAACTGAGGTATGCAAGGAGGTCCTGAGCTACTTGCTGATGAAGACCAAAGACTACATCCTTCGATATGGATGACAACTCAAATGCAAAGAATACAAAAATCCTCATCGCTGGGCTAATAGATGCTTCATTAGAAATGGAGAAAAGAGTGAAGTTGTCAAGGCTTTCGTTTTACGTGGATCCATAGTCAATGCTTATGGAAGCAGAAGTCAGGAAATCAAGTGGTGGACTGCTGAGATAGTTTATTGTGCCAGCCTGGCCGATAAACACAAGTGGGATTAACTGAAGGGCAGAGAGATAAATGGCTTGGTGAGCCTCGCCTTTCTTGTCTCTCGCTCTGTGATCATTGGACCAGTGTGTGGCTGCCTTGCTTGTTCTGTGCCTCAATTTAAAGGCTACACTGCCTGTGGAATGCCTAGCCTGTGGACTGTGTCGCTGTGAGTTGAGGTCCCTTTAAGACTTCTCTGGAGCTGGGGACTGGCGGTTGGTGACCTGCCTTGTGATTGGCTGCTGTGCTGACATAGCCTAGCTCTCTCTATAAATAGATGAAGATCTGGCAGCAGCCTAGACTTGAAGGACTGTTAGTCTCTCACAACTCTCTCTCACAGGAGTGAGTTGCATTGAGCCATTTGTAGTGCTTTATAATTTAACTGTTTATTTCTTGTATTATATATCTATCTGTATATGATTTAACAGTTCATTTCTCATTATATATCTAATTATCTTTATAAATAAATATGTTAATTATCAGCAATTTGGTTTTATCTCTCTAGAGAACCCTGTCTAACACAACTGCCTTGGGCAAAGCTGCTGCACCAGTCTTCTTTCAAGTGCAAAAGAGCAAAGATGCCACGTTGAAGACTCAGGTGCCCTTGACATGAGCCCTGGTCTTTCCATCGCCTCGTGTGCACATGGACGCTGGACGGTGGATGAATAAGACAGGAGAAGAACTGACGCCTATGAACGAGGGTGTTGAAGAGGAAGACTGAAAGTGCCGTGGACTGCCAGAACAGCCAACTCTGAATGCGCCTTCGAAGTGAGGTTGGAAGCCTTCATCTCACAATTCCAGACATGGTACCAGGAGAGACCAGTCCTCAGAAAAGAGACAATGGGTTCTCGGTAAAGTAGAGTCGGTTACAAAGAGAAAGACTCTCAATGAGAGAGACTGACACAGTGGCTTCAACAATGATTGTGAGCACGTTTCAGGCCCAGGCAGTGTTGCGTTCCTTTGTACAGAGTCTCCACGAGTCAGACCCAACTAGCAGGCACCTAACAGCAACAGCAGGTTACCAAACTGCTGTTTGGACGTGATGTAGATTGACAATTCGTCCTTCTGTATACCTTCAGAAGTTGTATAGCCCTGGTGCCGTGGTGGTTACATGCCATTTTGAGTTCATACTGATTCTTAAGCAATCATTTGCCCTGTCCGGCGCCATCGTTGGAGACATTGTTGCAGCTACTGTGTCATTGAGGATCTTCATCTTTTCTGCCGCCCTTCTAACTTTACCAAGCATGGTGTCCTTGTCCAAGGACTGTCTTGCCTGATAACATGCCCAAAGCAAATGAGATGAAGTCTCACCACCCTTGTTTCTATGGAGCAAGAGTGGCTGTACTTCTTGCAAGATACGAGATTTGGCTGTTCTTCTGGTGGCCAACGGCACGTCCAGTCTTCTCTCCCTGCACCACAATTCCAATGCACCACCCCTTCTCTGGCCTTCCTCACCCATTGCCCTACTTTCACATAGACCTAGATGGTGGACATGTGGAAAAGCAGGAGCTTGACCAGCTGATATTTTTAACAAAGGTTTCTAGCCTTTTGTGGAAATACATTTGACTCACCCTCACGTGGTGTGTCTTTAATGTATGTGTACATATTGTGTGCAGCGACATATCTGCTGGCTTCTTTGTTGTTGGCCGCCATCACCCTGACTCTGCATCATGGTTCAGTGCCACGTCCCCTCAGCGCCTTTCAGAAGCAGATGGGTCAGGCCTGTCTTCCAAGATGGGGTTGAGCCAACAGCCTTTCCAGAAGTGGTGGAACCCCAACCCGTTTGTGGCACCCGGGACTCCACATATGTGTGTGCCTCCCTCTAAGCAAACATCTCACCCAGCAGCACTGGTCAGTGCTGACAGCTGTGACTCTGTGACACCTCATCACAGCCAGGCCTCACCCCTTACCAAGAGCACCATGCGTGCTGAGCTGCGAGCTGACCACATCCTCAGGGCGCCGTCCTGCGAGGTAGAGAGCAGCCACTCACCACTCCGACTCCAGCTGACCGCACTCACGGGCCCGTCGTGGCCTGGAGAAACACGGCACCAAGAGGTGAGGCTCTGATGTCAGAAGTGATCTCGGGGGAGTAGCATCAGGAGCAGCTGCACCGATGCTCTCAGAGCTGCACTGTCGACATCATGAACAGCCTGTTTGGAAGCATTCTCCAGATGGAGTGAGGCCAGTGGACTCTGAGTGCAAGGTAACAGACTGTGAGTGGCATCATTAGGGGGTCTTGTAAGCTGCAGACAGCATGGATGGCCATGTCAGAGGGGATGACCCAAAAATGACTGTCTATATTCCTATAGCTAGTTATAACAACAAAATACATTTTTCCTCAGCTCAGCTTACATGTATCAGTATACTGATGAGGCTAAAACCCTGTGTGACATGCTTTCTCCGCTTCCAAATGCACTCCTATCAGTGCTGTCATTATCATCCAATTACAGTGAGACCTCGAATCACATGAGCTCATCCGCACACGCTGTGGGCACACGCTGCTGTTCTCCATGTCACAGGGGTTTTCATGGTCACTGATTGTGTGAAATGTTCTGGTATTTTACCTACAATATTGTGGTCATTAGTATTCATAAGCCTACATCAATAATATTTTTTAGAATAAAATAGCAATCAAAGGAAAAGAGACAGAAAAATTAAAAATCTTCTCAGTAACTAATAATGGTGTGACTCAAGGTAAAAACATTTCACAAAACCATTTTGCTGCTGCTGCTGCTGTTAGGTACCATACAGCTCCTGCACAGCGGAACTTAGCACGGCCCGGTCCTGCGCCAGCCTCACAATTATTCTATGCTTGAGTCCATTGTCGCAGCCGCTGTGCCCATCCATCTCCTGGAGGACCTTCCTCTCCATCCCTGCCCGCCACTTTACAAGACCGGGGACTTGTCTCTCTTGACAACATTTCAGAAGTATGAAGACAAATTCTCACCATTCTTCCCTCTAAGGAGCACTCTGGCCATACTTCTTCCAAGATAGATCTGTTGGTCCTTTAGACAGTCCGTGGTACTTTCAATGCATCAACACTGCCATTCAAATGCATCGATTCTTCTTTGGTATTACTTATTCAATGTCCAACTTTCAAATTCATGTGAAGCAATGAAAAATACCATGCCTTGGGTCAGGCACACATTAGTGCTCAAAGTAACATCCTTGCTTTTCCACTCTAAAGAGGTTGTGTGCAGCATATTTTCCCAGTGCAGTGCATCTTTTGATCTCTTGACTGCTGCTTCCATGAGCCTTGATTATGGACCCAAGCAAGGCAAAATCCTTGACAGCTTTAACCTTCTCTCCATTTATTAGGATGTTACCTATTGGGCCAGTTGTGAGGATCTGGGTCTTCTTCACATTAAGTTGTAATCCATTGAAGGCTGCAATCCTTGTTCTTCATCAGCAAGTGCTTCAAGTCCTCCTTATTTTCAGAAAGCAAGGTTGTGTCATCTGCATATTTCAGATTGCTAATAAGCCGTCTTTCAATTCTGATGCCACATTCTTCTTCATATAGCTCAGATTCTGATGATTTGTTCACCATACAGATTGAACAAGTGTGGTGAGAGAATACAACCCTGACCCACACCTTTCCGAATTGTAAACCAGGCACTGTTCCCTGGCTCTACTCATACAACTGCCTCTTGATCCGTGTACAAGTTCCACACCAGCACAATGAAGTGTTCTGGAATTCCCATTCTTCTCACGGCCATCTATAGTTCATGAGTTACACAGTCGAATGCCTTGGCATGGTCAACAAAACACAAATAAACATCTTTCTGGTATTCTCTGCTTTGAACCAAGATCCATGTGACATAAGCCATGACATCCCTGATTCCACGGCCTCTTCTGAACCCAGCCTGAACCTCTGGCAGCTCCCTGTCAATGGACTGCTGCAACTATTCTTGAATGATCTTCAGCAAAATGCCACTTGCATATGATATCAATGATATTGATGTATTGTTTGAGCATTCTGCTGGGACACTTTCCTTGGAATAGTTACTCTTCCAATCCGTTGGCCATGTAGCTGTTTTCCAAATTTCCTGGCATAGATGAGTGTTCTGAATGCTTCATCAGCTTGTTGAAATCTTTCAATTGGTGTTCCATCAATTCCTGGAATCTGGTTTTCGGCTAATGCTTTTAGTGCAACTTGGACTTCTTCCTTCAGGACCATTGGTTCTTGCTCATGAAATTGTAAAAAGTTGACTAGTTCTTCTTGGTACAGAGTCTCGGTGTAGTCTTTGCATCTTCTATGATGCTTCCTGCATCATACAATATTCTGCCCACAGAATCTTTCAAGATTATAACTCAAGGCTTGAATTTTTTCTTGCTTTCTTTCAGTTTAAGATATGCCGAGTGCGCTTTTCCTTTGTGGCTCTTCCAGAGCTGCGTTAATTGCACTATAATATCTTCCTTTGTCATCTCAAGCTGAGATTTTCTATTCAGCTCTTTGACTTCATCATTTCTTCCGTTTGCCTCAGCTACTCTCTGATTTAGAGCAAGTTTCGGTGTTTCTTCTGACATTCACTTCAATATTTTCATTCTTTCTTGTCTTTTTAATGACCTTTTGCTTCATGAATGGTGGTCCTGATGTCTTCCCACAGCTCCTCAGCTCTTCTGTCAATGCAGCAAATCTGTTCTTGAGATGTTCTTGAAAGTTAGGTGGAATAGACTCAAGGTAGTACTTTGGCTCTTTGAGGACTTATTTTAATTCTTTTCAGCTTCATGGTGAACTTACCTATGAGTAACTGGTGGCCTGTTCCACAGTCAGCCCTTGGCCTGGTTTTAGCTGCTAATATTGAGTTTCTTCAACATCTCTTCCAACAGATGTATTCCATTTGGTTCCTGTGTATTCCATCTGGAGAAGCCCATGTGTATAGTCACCTTGTGTGTTGCTGAAAAGTAATGTTTGCTATGGACAAGTCACTTAACTCGCAGAATTCTATCATGCATTCCCCAGCTTCATTCCTATCACCAAGACCATATTCAACTACTAATCATTCCTCTTTGATTCCAGTGTTTGCATTCCAATCTCCAATAATGATCAATGCATCTTGATTTTATATTCAAGCTTGATTATAAATGATCCATTTCAGACTGAAGACATTGGTAGAATTCTTCAGTTACTTCATCAATTTCAATTTCAATCTTTTGTGGTTGGTACATAAATTTGCATAACAGTTGTACTGATTGGACTTCTCTGAAGGCAAATAGATATAATCCTATCACAGATGATAGCATTATACTTCAGAATAGATCTTGAAATGTCCTATTTGACTATGAATACAATGTCCTTCCTCTTAATCCTGTAATTCCCAGCATAGTCAACCATCTGATTTTCTCATTCAAAATGGCAATACTGGTCCATCTTAGCTCACTAATGCCTAGGATATCAGTCCTTCTACATTCTATTTCATTTCTTAAGACTTCCAATTTTCCTAGATTCATACTCCATACATTCCAAGTTACAATTATTAAATTTTTGCAGTTTTTCTTGCCTTGTGTTGTGCTCCATCGGTTAACAAAGATCCAAGAAGCTCTACTCCCACACGCTTCACTCCA